AAGATCTGCGCTCAGCACTTCGGGTCAACACCTTCTTTCGGCAACGCTTCTCTAGTATCCCGTCTCATCTGGATGTGACACTAACCGAGTTTATTAATATTAGTATTACTATATAAATACGAAAACTTCATGATTATGTTATAACATCCCTTGCGTGCTTGCTACATTATGACTATGAGTACATTCATGGCACTGCTAAATTTAATAGTGGTTCAGCGGGACACTAGTCCAGAGAGACATGATACAAGATTGCGTAGCACAGCGTTGCTGTTGATCCTGAGCGTTAGCTATGCTAGAGTGTTTCACTGTTTTCCACCGGCATCAGTAATATTATGTTAGTAAAATTATACTCACTCTTTCACAACGAAAAAAGGGTCCTCCATTAACAGGACATTCGGCTGCAATGGATACAGCCTGATCACAGCTAAAACTAAGATAAAATACTAAAGAAACCCACAAACATCAGTTGGCGTTGCGTCTAAATTCAATCCATGCTGAATGAAAACAGAAATGGCTGCTCAGTAGTTACGTCAATGCGACCCGTCAGGGATAAGTGAAGCGGTTCTTCATCACTGTGCCCGGAAGGGGGCGCGGGATATAAGATATATAAGATATATAACAGTTTTAAATTATCGCTTACAATATTGGTAAGTACAAGAATTTTTACAGAGTGGATAATATACAATACAGCGAAGTGATGACGAAAATACCATAATATACGGTCATCTAGTCAGTCATCCCCTGGAAAAATTATAAAGTACGCGGGTAGCTGTCATTAGCTAATTGGAGTAGAGAAATACTAAAGTAAAAGTGTTCTAATAGAATATTTGCGTGTAATATTGTAAACTAAGGACTTAGTCAACAAGGAATAATACTAATATAAAGTTACAAAATTAACATGATTTACAACTGCATAATCGTTACACAAGAAGTAAGCAGTAATAATAACTTTGATGAGCAATTTTAAACATAATGTTTGTAGTAATGTCAATATAAATAAACACGTAATTTACAACAAAACAAGTTGCGGCGGCAAAACGTTACGGCGTGTGTGTGTGTGTGTGTGTGTGTGTGTGTGTGTGTGTGTGTGTGTGTGTGTGTGTGTGTGTGCGTGCGTGCGTGTGCGTGGGTGTGTGCAAGCAAATATGGCAAAATTCTCAACATAAAAAAATATACAATATATTCAAAGAACTTATTATTGATATATGCATAGATATTTCCAATACATTGTGATAATTTCTTATTAAAAACAGTCAAGATAAACATTATTGTATAACATATACATACACAGTATCATACACATATACATACACAGTATCACATAATCTTCTATTATCTACTCCTGACAGTATTGTATACATATAACCATATAAAATCATGAACAATATTTACTCTATGATATGTCAAATTGATAACATAAAAACATTCAATTTCAATTTAGGCTACTTTGCATTATAAATCTATACTATCAGTGATACTATACATGTACAATCGTACATATATAGGCCTAATTATATAATATTATCAGGAATGAATAATGATAGATTTCATTATTATTCACTCCTGATATTATGAACATATTATTCAATACTATACCAAACAAATAATTAACACCCTCGTCATAGGCATGATTATTATATATATTACTATATATATACACATGTAACCATATCAAATCATGAACAATATTTTTTCAAATAGATAACATGAGATCTATTAAGTTAACTAATTCAACTGATATATGCATAGATATTTACAATACATTGTAATAATTTCTGATTAAAAATAATCCAGATTAACACAATTATTATATACAGTGTAATACTATAAACATCATTACTCAATAATATATCAAATTGATAACAAAAACATTTAAATTTAATTTAGTCTACTTTGCATTATGAATCTACTATATATATATACACACATATATATTATATAATATTATCATAAACATAAGTGTTATCATATTTATACCAAATAAACAACATAAAACCACGATTTTAATTTATTTTCCATGTATTTGCATCCTTTTTCTGTTTCCCATGTCTGGTCGTCTCTCCGCTCCTCCTC